GCGGGCTCCGGGCAACCCCCCCCCCAAAGCGGGGCTCAACCCCCCCGTGTCCGCTCCTCCCCGGCTCTGCTCATCCCGCAGGTACGCCCCTCTCCCCGTCCCCCCTGTCCCACATCGCCCCCCGCCCAGCCCTGCCCGCCCCCTGCCCGCGGCTCCCGGGGGGATTTGGGGAGCAGAGTAGCCCCCAACCCGGGGCTGAAGAGGAGCCGTCCCCCTTCTCCTTTTGAAGGGAAGAACCCTGGGTCAAAAATCGTAAAAACAACGAAATCAAGAAAAGTTTCACCAACTTTTTGTTTCCCCCTGTTTTAATGAATCTCCCGGCTCGTTCCCCAAATCCTGCCGTGCAGGGTCCCACGGGCTCCACGTCTGCCCGTGCAGCCTCTCCATCCTCCCCTCTCCGGCTCATCGCTGCCGCTGCACTCGCCCATCCGTGCCGATTTCCCCACCCTCTGTCCCTCCCTGCCACCACGGCCAGCTCCTGCCACCTCCAGCGAGGTTTGGTTGTGCGGCTGGATCGGGGCGTGGGGGCAGCTGCAGCCCCCCGGGTGCTCTCAAAAGGTGCCTGAGGAGCGTGAGAGCCCCAGGGCAGGGGGCTGCCGAGGGGGAGCCCCAGTGGTGATGGAGGACAGCAGGATCCTGTGCTCAGGCACACTTCCCAAGGGAGCCAAGTGTGCGTCTCCAGCCCCAAAATCCAGGCTTTGCTACACGGGGCAGCTGTTGCAGAGTCAGGGCTGGGATCTGTTTCCTGCTCCCTTCTCCACGGCATCCTCTGAGTCCCTTCTCCCGGGGATCCTGACAGGTGTCTCAGACAGACACAGCCACAGGGAAAGGAAAATCCTGACCTCACCCCATGGCCGATCCCCACCTTCCCTGAGAGGCTGAACTGTCCCCCAAAGGATCAAAGAATGGGTTGGGCTGGGAGGCACCTCAGGGATCATCCGTGGGCAGGGACACGAGGGAACCACCAGAGACAATTCCTTGGTGCTGGACCTGCCCAGGGAAGGGTCAGATCCAGTGACAGGAGACTGAAACCCACCACAGAAATCCCCCAAACCAGCCCCGTGCAGCCCATGGCTCGTGCTGAGGGCTGGGGGAGAGTGCCCAGGGCTGAATCCTGACTCCAGAGAAATCCCCCTGGGGAGAAAACAGCAGCAGCACCAAAGCGCTGCCAGGAGAGCCCTGTCCAGTGGCCTGGGACACTGCCAGCCCTCCCTGGACACTGGAGCTCCCCACGTGCGCCAGGCCCTGCCAGGATGCTCCGACTCTCCGGAGGCCGGCGCAGGCGGGAGCTCGGAAGCCTCTTCCCTTCTCGCTGCCAGCAGCAGAGCTCTGAGTCACGGTCTCCAGTGTGCTCCTGGAGAGCTGCACGATCAGCTGATGGCCAGCCCAGAGAGGATGCTGGAAAGCTCCACCGAGACTCCAGCAGAATTCCTGAGGAGGGGAATTGTCCCTTCCTGGTGCTCTGTGGTGGGATCTCTCCCCTCCAGCTGGCTTTGTTAATCCTCTCATGACTCCGGGAGCTTTTGTCTCAGGGTATTCCACAATTCCTTTTGCTGGGCTCTTCCTGGTGGCCCCTCTACCCCCGTTTTCCTCCTTTTCTGTATTTCAGCAGCTCAGAGAAGTTTGGAGGGAGCAGCTCAGCTCCTGGCCCAGGATTTCACTCTCCCCAAGGAAGCAAACCCGTGCCAAGCTGCGTCTTGCCGCTGTCCATGTAGGAAAATTGGATCAGATGAAGTAAACAGCCTTCCCTCCTTCCCATTCCTCTGCGTGCCGGCAGAGTTCTCCAAGCCACCGAGCCTCTTCTCCTTCCCTGTCGCAGCCCTGAGCATCCTGCCCTCAACTTTGTCCTGACAATGAACTTTTGGAGCAAGGGACACTCCGGGTGGGTCCCCAAACTCACCTCTGGGCACTCTGGCACTGAGCTCGGGGACACCACAGGGACATCAAAAACATCAAACCTCAGCCTCATCCCGTGGGTGAGCTCATCCTCCCACCACCTCTACACGGATCTGGTCCCAGAGGGGAGGAGAGCGCTGCCCTCCACATCAAAGCTCTGCATTGAGTCAGGAATTATCAAGCTCCTCCTGGACACGGAAAAACCAAGGAGAACCTTCCTGTCTTTGTGCAAAGATGTGGAATCACCAGAGAAGGAGAGGTTTCTACAGCAGTGATAACCACAGACATCTCGAACACTTCCACATTTGTTGCTTTAGCCCTGGGCCACTCTGAATATTGGCATTTCCAAGGAGTGGAATGACCTTCCAGGGGATTCCCTCTGCCTTTCTGGAGCAAGATGGAACAGCTCTGCAAGGCTCCTTGCAGCCTTCTCGTGTCTTTTCCAGCTTTCCTCCCTAACTGATCCAAAAACTGGCGTGGTCCAGACCCACCCCTCCCACCCATCCATTCCAGCAGGAAATGCTTCACTGGAATCAGAATTAAAAAGAGGAAAGTCAGGATCCTTCCTGTTAGAACAAAACCAAATAAAAGCAGCAGACAAAGACCCTCATGATCTGAGGAAGACAAATTCCTTGCAGGGTGATCTCAGCTCCCAGGCTAAGAGCTGGCACCCCAGTGGCTTTGGGGACCCTTTCTGCAATAAATGCAGAAGCGAGGAGCCAGGAATCTCCTGACATTGTGTGCTGTGGTTCTGCACCGTGGAGTGGCACAAGCGGATCAATGGCAAAGGATCCGGTGCCCGGGGGCTCTGGCTTCTCATTCCCACTGGAAAAAACACTCCTGGACACGCTCTCCAGCCAGGTCTGAGCTCCAGAAGCTCGAGAAGCTCCAGCTCTCCGCTGCTGTTTGAGGATGACCCATAATTTCCCTGTCTGTCTCCCTGCCTGAGCCACTCCAAGCCCGCTCTCTCGGCCTGATCCCGGTGTTTTCCCTCCGACAGGGTTGGCTGCAGACCTCGCACAGCCCGGCCTGCCTGCCATGTGCTTCGCTGCCTCAGGCAGTTGCCTGCAGACTCCAGCTGTTTTTATTACCTAAGTGGGTTTGATTGCTCCTTCATTTGTGCCTGAATGAGAGCCCTTGGCACCCTCGTGGGCTTTAATGGGGTCTGTGTGTTCTCGCTCCCAATTAAACCCACGGGCAGCGATTAACAGCTCCCAGCAACTCCAGCTCCGAGCTGGGGGGACGAGGCTTTCCAGGGCTCGGGGACACGATCCTGCAGGAGGGACACAACTTTGTGCATCCCGAGCAGACAGCTGGGCTGGCTGGAAATGGCTCTGTCCCCAGGTGACCGCTGCCACTTCATTCTCGTCAGGGGAGGTCGGGCTCAGCCGTGCCAGCCTCGCACACACGCGTTTCCCAGCGCTGGGGGACAGCGCTGGTGGGTGGCCAGGGCTGGTGTCACCCCAAAGTGGGGCTACAGACATTAAGGGCAGTTCCCCCACCTGCCCTGGATGTCGGGGCTGCTCCTGGAGAGCGCCGTGTGGGGTGATCAGGACATCGGGGCATGGACCACTTGGTCCTCCCCTCCCTTTTCCTTGTGCTCCTGCCCAGGGCCTGAGGGGCTGGAAGCAGCCAAAACCGGTGAATTTCTGCTGCACTTGGAGCTTCCAGCCCCGAGTTCTGACTCCAGGAGCCATCCCAGCGCCCTGGCAGCCGCCCTGCCGGGATCATCCCGGCTGTCCCGGTGCTCCGATGAGCACATCCCACCCGACACCACCCACAGCCATCTGTGGGAGCCGCGGGGAGGAGCCAGCCGTCAAAATTAAGATGCTGGGGGATTAAATGCTTCGATCTCATCGGGATTGGCGTTTTGTGATGGAAATTGGTTCTGTCAGGAAATGTGTAAGTGGCGCTACCTGCCAGAGGTCCGTGCGCTGGGACCGGCGGTGGCTGGAGTCGCTGATGGAGTGCAGGAGTGGAATGGAAAATCCAGGCCCAGGAGCTTTTTAAACTCAATTAAAGTCTGGCTCGCTCCTGAGACAGGCCCGGGGCATTGGGAAGAACTTTCCTCCCGCACTGGATTAAACTTGGTGTGGGGTCAAGAGCAGGGCCTCGACGGGCTGAGGGGACACCTCAGGTGGCAGATGGTGGCGTTATGGAGGACTCAACAGAGGCCAGATTCTGTGCTGGAATTAGGAACAGACATCACAGAGCCATGGAACCGCTGGGGTGGGAAAAACCCTCTCAGATCCTCCAGTCCAAGCAGTCCCCAGCAAGGCCACCGCTGACCCGTGTCCCCAGCTCGTGCTCATGGCTCCTGAACCCCTCCAGCCGTGGTGCCAAGGCTCCCAAAACGCCTGTTTCTGGAGGAGAATGCAGGAATGGCTCCCGGTGAGGATGAGATCCCTTCCCAGCCAGCAGAGCAGGGTGTTTAATGCAGGTCTCGCGCTCGAGGTGTAAGAGAAAGACGATCCGTGCTGGCCAGCAGATCCAGCTTGTAAAAATCCTTATTAAAACCCCACTGAGCCTAATCGGGAAAGATGGCTTTTAATTAAAAAGTGCAACCATTCAGCCAACTTTTATAGGAGATTGCTGCGACCCCAGGAGATGCCAACCAGCAATAGACTCAACTCCTTCCGGAGGGAGGGATCCTCCCCGTCCTTTGTTAGCTGGAACATCTCTGCCGCTTTTAAATGGGCAACTTCACAGGTTTCCTGAGTGTGGTTTCTTCCA